TCAAAACTCATTATTTGTGTTCTAGAGCACAAAAGCTGAAAGTACTGTTTCTGGTTAATTTTAAACACGGTGATCTCTAGGCTCAACTGAAACAGTCCTCGCTTATCTTTGTATCTGAGCTTGGACCAAGGCAAACTATCAAATTCGTCTGAGTCTAAAAATTTGTGGAATTGAATTTAAATCCACACTTAACTTTAGAAACTAAAGGGAAGAGTTCAGTATTTTCCTCTTTAATATCGGTTCTTTTGCAATTCACAAATTTCTTTTAGCTTGTTAATCACTAATCAAAGTCGTGATGGTTGTGTTTGTTGACTTTCGTTTTTTCATATCCTGAAGATTCCAAAACCGAAGGAAAATTGGAAATCCATTGACATGATGTAAGTTTTGCTTTTGTAAACTCCTGTTTCCTATTTAGAAGAAATGATTTAATTCTGTTCATGCCTCATGTGCCCCTAATTTTTAACTAGGTGGATGAACATCAACTCTATTGAAAGCCTTGTGGAAAGACGTGCTTCAAAGGGGCATGTGACCATTTCAGAGGTGACTTCTGTTTATTTCTTAAAAATGCTCATTTATATTAATTTGAATTATTTGGTCACAGCTTTGAGTATTGTTTCCTTCATCCTTTTATATGACTATGTTACTACAATATTTTTCTAAATTCCCCCTTGCATGTGTCACCCAGCTGTTCAATCAGTATTTTGCTTTGAGTGTTCCTAAAGCTAGATATTTGCCCGTTAAAACGACGACAAACCTATTTCTGCTGAAGGTCAGTACTAGTTTCTACCTTGAGTGTTCATTGTTTTTAATATGTTGGTTATATCGTATTAACGGCTGGTTTCTGCTTATGCAGTCTGACTTGTACACCTTTACGGATGGCACACTGACTCGAAATACAGCCAGAGAAAATCCTGATGACCCATATGTTGAATTGGGACCAGAATTTGAGAATGTACTGCCTTTGAACTTAGACCCTTTGTTCCATGCTCTTTCATTTGCTTGTCGGATGTCCATATAAATTTCCTTTCCTTTCATTAGGTCAATGACTTCCAAACACGATTCAAGTCCATTCCTAGTGTTGTCGGGCTTGACATCTTGGAGGTGACTGGTGATGTTTGGTTTGGAGCTGGGGTAACTCTTAAGGTGACAAAGTTTCTCCATGAGCAGTCAATTATGCCATCTTATATTATGTCTGTGTAAAAAAGCAAAAAACAAAGATAACTAGGTATCACGGATTTGAGCATTCCACCAACTCTGTTGCATTAAATACAATCTTTTGATTTCATATAAATTCAATAGCCGTGGGAGACAAGTTTTCATCTAAATGAAACTAGTTCTAACACCCGTGTAATTGTAAAAAAAAATAAAAGAAAACAAAATTTTTTATTTTGAAAATTTAATTACTTTTTTAAAAACTATGTTAATAGTTTTATTTACTGACGCCCATTTTTGGAGACATCTCAAACAATATTTTCTTAATCACATTAGTTTTGCATTAGTGTGTTAAATGAGATTTATCACCTAGGCCATTTAATTTATTGTATTGCTCTTTTTTATTTACGTTGAATCCATTGCAAGTTGAAAATTGGGAAAGCTTTTAACTTTCAAAATAGAGGAGAAGAGAGCTAGCTGCAGGGAGAGAGATATAGAGAATGAAAAGAATCTCATTAAGTCATGTTAAATGAAGGTGTTTTAAAAGAGTAATTGAGTTTTGTAAAATTAAACTGTGAAATACATTATGGTAATTCTCAAGGCTAAATACCAATATCCGGGCATGAATATGTGGTAATAAGAAGTATGAATTTTCACGCTCACAAAGTGTGTACCCAATGATTTTAATTGAT